TAAACAAAGAAAAATGCTTATGATATGCTCTGACATAATGATGAACTTGAGGCTTGTGGAACTATCTAAATTTTCTGCAAAAGCTTTTTTTAAATATAGAGTAGCTTTATATTAAATTTGGGGAGGACCTCCTATCTTCCTTACTTCCTTTTCTTTTTTTTAATGTTAAAGGAAAAATATTGGGAATTTATGTATCATGTAACTAGCAGGTTATGTGCTTATGTCTAATACTTTATTAAATATGAAACTTGAATTTTATCCATTCCTCAGCAGTTCTGAATTATTGTGGTAACCCCCAAAATACAGAAAGATTTGCCTGCAGTGGTAGGATTCTCCAGGAATATGTAGACACTCTGATTTAGTTTGCTGCTGGTCAATAGCCACTTGTACTATATTGTTTTCTTACTCTAAAGTACTCTTCTGATATCCTGTCTTCCCTTCTTTAAAATATTTATTTCATAATACATGGGTTTGTAGTTTCAGGAACTAGTGACATTCAGGGATGTGGCCATCGACTTCTCTCAGCAGGAGTGGGAATACCTGGACTCTATTCAGAGGGACTTGTACAGGGATGTGATGTTGGAGAACTATAGGAACCTGGTCTCACTGGGTAAGTATTTACCTCAAGTAATTTAAAATGTGATCTGTGATATGTTATCTTTCAACACAGTGAATTTCAAGGCTGTATTTCAAGACATAAGCTAAATTTCTCCTTCTCATTCCTAGAGGAAGATTTAAGCTTTGCCAATTTGACAATAGCTCTACCATTAAGCACCATTATTTTCCCTATCCGTTAGTGATAGTCACGTCTTCTCTGGCTCTTACAACTGCCTCCCTTCCTTAATATCCAAGGGGAGGGATTAAAATTTTGAATATTTATGCAATGAATAACTATGGCCCAGGAAGCCTGGCTTCCCATTGTATTTATTCCCAAAATTCCTATAGATAAGCTGTATCGTCATCTGATCCACCTGCAAGGACAACAGTTAGACACAGATTCCTGATTTGCTCTGAGTATGAGAATAGCCTCTGTGACCTATACAGCAGTGAATTGGATGAACAGTATTCATTTAAAACTGAAGAGTCCACATTTCATAGCTTGCAGCCAATTATTATTATTTTTTTTTATCTTTTTTTTTTTTTTGTCTTTTTGTCTTTTT